ACCTAAGCACAATGAATATGAAGAAAATTACACCAAGGTACAACAAAATCAAATTGTTTGAAAAGAGTGATAAAGAGAAAATCTTAAAAAGAAGCCAGGGGAAAAAGCACATTACATTCAGAGGAACAAAAATAAGGATGACTGTAGATTTATCATCACAAATGATGCAAGCAAGAAGTCAGTGGAGCAGCATCTTTAAAATACTGAAAGAAAAATAAAAACTTTAAACCTAGAATTTTATTCCCAGCAAAAATATCTTTCTACAACATAAGTGAGATAATGTCTCTTTCAGACATTCAAAAGCTGAAGTAGTTTATTGCAAGCAGACCCACACTACTAATTATAGTAAAGTAGGTCCTTCAGGAAGAAGGAAAATGATACCAGATGGAAATGTGGATCTACACAAAATAATAAAGATAGAACACTAAAAATGGTAACAGAAAGTTTTTTTCTCATTATTTAAATCACTGAAAAATCAAATTGGTTATCTTAAACAAAAATAGTAATCATTTACTGTGCAGAAGCACTTGTAAAAATAAGCTATATGACAACAACAGAACCAAGGTAGAAAGCAGAAAAATGGAAGTATATACTGTTGTAAAGTTCTTGCACTATATGTGAAGTGCTCTATCCCAACTTGAAAGTAGACTGTGATAAGGATGTATACTACAGACTTTAATACAACCACTAAAATAAAAAAGAGTAATATCAAATAAGCCAACAAAGGAAATGAAATGGAATCATAAAAATAATATTCAATTCATACAAAGAAGGCAGAAATGAAAAAAAGGAAAACAAAGAATAATGAGACACACAAAAAACAAATAACAAGATGGTAGACTCAAACCTAATGTTGTCAATAATCCAACTAAATGTAAATGGGCTGAGTACTCAATTAACAAGGAGATAGTTTTATAGTCTATAAAAATCAAGACCAAACTACATGCTGCATCCAATAAATGCACTTAGAATATAATGACACAAATATCTTGAAAGTAAAAGGATAAAAAAAGATATCTTATATTAGCACTAATCAAAAGAAAGCTGGACGGGCGCCTTGGGTGGCTCAGATGGTTAAGCGTCTGCCTTTGCTCAGGTCATGATCCCAGGATCCTGGGATCGTGCCCCACGTCAGGCTCCTGGCTCAGTGGGGAGCCTGCTTCTCCCTCTCCCTCTCCCTCTCCCTCTGCTCATGCTCTCTCTCGCTCTCTCTCTCTCTCTGTATCTCTGTGTCTCAAATGGATAAATAAAATCTTGAAAAAAAAAAAAAGGAAAGCCGGAGTGACTATATTAATATCAGAATAATAAAGGAGTAGTATCAGATAAAAAACCTCATTTTATAATAATAAAAGAGTCAATTAATCAAGAAGCTATGAAAAATAAAGTAAGATGAAAACAGAGAGGGAGGCAAACCATAAGAGATTCTTAACTATAGGAAACAAACTGAGGGTTGCTGGAGGGAAGGTCGGTGGGGGGATGGGGTAATTGGGTGATGGGCATTAAGGAGAACACTTGTTGTAATGAGCACTGGGTGTTATATGCAACTGATGAATCATGAATTCTACCCTTGAAACTAATATTACTGTATGTGTTAACTAAACTGAATTTAAATAAAAGAAAAAAAGAAGCTATGAAAAAACCTATAATGTCAGAGCTTCAAAATACATGAAGTTAGAAAGCAGGGAGAAATAAACATTCACAATTATAGCTGAGGACTTTAATAACCTTCTGTTAATAAAAGAAAGAACAAATGAATAGCAAATCTGTAAGAATATAAAAGATTTGAACAGCAATATAAATGAATTTAACCTAACTGATATTTATAGAACACTCCAAGCAGAATAACATTCTTTTCAAATGCAAACAGGACATTTATCAAAATAGGTGATATTCTGAGCCATAATACAAGCCTTAATAAATTTATTTTAAAAGAATTCCAATCATATAAAATATATGTCATACCACAATAGAATTAAATTGAAAATCACTTAACACAAAGGACTCTGGACAATCATTAAGTAGAAAGTAAACTACACACTTCTAAATAATCTGTCAGTGAAAGAATTCAAAAGGAAAATCCAAATTGAAAATGAAAACATAACATATAAAAATTTGTGGGATGCTACCAAAACAGTATTTGGGTTAGCCAAAAGTTTCTTAGATATGACACTAAAACATAATCCATAAGAGGACAATTGATTGGATTTTACCAAATTTACCCTAAACACACACCTCACCAAAAAAGATACACAGATGGCAAATAAGCACGTGAAAAGACATCATAAATTATCAGGAAATTGCAAATTAAAGCAATAATGAAATATCACTACACACCTATTAGAATGGCTAAAATTCTAAACACTGACAACATAAAATGCTGGTGAAGATGTGGAACAACAGAGACTCTCACTCATTGCTGGTGGGAGTCCAAAATAGTACAGGTACTTTGGAAGATGATTTGGTAGTTTCTTAGAAAGCTAAACATAATCTTATACATTTCTCAAAACCTATAGAATTGTACAGCACATATAGTGAACCATAATGTAGATTATCAACTCTAGTTAATAGTAATGTGTCAATATTGGTTCATCAATTGTAACAAATGTACCACACTAATGCATGATGTTAATAATAAGAGAAACGGGGGAGGGAAGGGGGATGGAGTATATGAGAACTCTGTATTGTTTGTTCATTTTTTTTAAAAGACATTTATTTGAGAGAGAGAGAGCATGAGCAGAGGTGGGGGGGAAGGGCAGAAGGAGAGAGCCCAGAGCCCAACACAATACTCGATCCCAGGACCCTGAGATTATGACCTAAATCCATAGTCAGCTGCTTAACGGACTGAACCACCCAGGCACCCCTGTTTATTTTTTAATAAACTTGAAACTGCTCAAAAAAAGTCTAGTAATTTTTTTAAAAGATACGCCATAGACCACAGGAAAATTTTTGTTAATCATATATCTGATAAAAGATTTGTGTCCAGAATATATAAAGAACCCTCAGAACTCAATAATAAAACAAACCAAATTTAAAAATACATACAAGCAAGAGATTTGAACAGACTTCACCAAAGAGATATATGGATGGCATAAGCGTACCTTTTGCTCACCATCATTAGTTGTGAGGAAATGCAAACTAAAACCATGATGAAATACTACTTCACACCCTCTAAGATTACTGTCATCAGAAAGATGGACAGATGTGTTGGCTAGGATGGGGAAAAATTGGAACTTTTGCATCCACTTTGGAACAGTTCGGCAGTTTCTCGAAAAGTTAAATGTACACCAAACATATATGATCCAGCCAAATCATGATATATCCATATAATGGAATAGTAAATAACAATAAATAGGATGAACTATGATACATGCTACAACGTGAATTAATCTCAAAATAATTAGACTGAGTGAGAAAACCAGGCAATAACGAATTCATACTGCATGATTATATAAAGTTCTGGGAAATGCAAAATAATGTATAGTAATAGGAGGAAGAGATCACAAAGTGTCAAGAGGGCACTTTTGGGGGTGTTAGATATGTTCTTCATGGTGGCATTTGGTTTCATGGGTGTTAAACACATGTCAAAACTTATCAAGTCGTTTTCTTTAAATATGTACAGTCTATTGTATGTTATCTCATTAAAACTGTTAAAAAAGAATAAAAATAGATGTAAAAGATGACACAGGTTGTTAATTTTGCAAATCCTCTTCTGATCATAAGGTTATAATATATAGCATTATTTAAAAAAGAAGAAATTGTTTTAATGAAGAAATAATTCAAGTTAATAAAAGTCTCAGAATGAAAATTTAAAGGAACTTTCAATTTTTATAACAATCTGATAAATAAAATATGTTTTTACTTAAGCATTAGTATCTTAAATTAAGTTTCATTTGACAAATGTTTTCATCTAAGAAATTAAGTTTTAAATTTCCATAAAATACAAATTTTGGAAGATTTGAAAGGAAGTTTGTAAGAGTCAACAATGCATATTTCAACATATTCTTACCAGGCGACAGATTTGATCATTTAGATACAGGGCAATTCCATGGGCTCTACGAAGCTATAGTCTGTGTCTTATCAGAATGTGGACCTATAACTTAAAATATAAAATACTCTAATTTTATGAGAAAACTAAGGCAAGAAAAGTTAAAATGACTTTATTATACTCTCAAATTAATTTTGAAAGTGAAAGTGAAAATGTATTTTCATTGCCTGTGAAATTGAAAAGCTGAAATTAATCAGGACCTAAACATTATTCCTGACTTTGTAGAATGCTATCCTGCTCATCAAGGTATGGACAAACTGCTTCTACAGTTAAGCAGGACTCTGGCCTTATCTGGCCTTTTGGTTCTGTTCTGGGGCTTCTTGCCGCAGCTAAGGAGTCCCCAGTGACCCTGGCGTCTCCCCTCTGTGCGCATACCTTCATGCTAGCTGCAGGCACATCTTGCCTGACAAAATAGGAACTGTAACCCTGTTGGGTGAAAAATGAACCCCCTGAACTCACCCCACCACCCCACTTTAACTCAAAGTGGGGACTGTGTATGTTAATTAAGTCTTGTGATTAATTACGCCAATCCATGACTAGCACTATGCTAGGCACTGAGGATATGAGAGAACAGAACGGAAAGGGTGTCTGTCCTCATGGAAAATTAAGTTAGAGTGGAACAGGCAAAGTGTTCAAGGAGATCGCCAAGTGGTATGAAGAAGGTAGACTAAAGAAGGATAAGAAAGGCTTGGATGTAGTGATAACATTACCTAGGGTGAGAGAGGGTGTCAGGGGAGACCCTTCTGAGCAGGTGCAGGGTGAACTAAGAACTGAATGACAAGAGGAAACCAGCTTTGTCAACAGCAGGAGGAAAGAGAGCAGCTATTGTCCAGGCTACCTGTGCTCTAAAGTTTATTCCGAGAGAAATATATGTGGAAGCAAAGAGGAATGTGAAAGGCAAATGGCAAATAAGAAATTAAAATGACAGAGGGAAGAGTTTTGATGAGATTGATGCCATGCATGATTTTATTTTACCTGTGACATCAGGTGAAGAAAATAAAGCTACCCTCCTTGAACTTGGAGCTGTGGAACCCTTAACTAAACTGCTCACCCATGAAGACAAAATTGTAAGAAGAAATGCCACTATGATATTTGGAATCCTGGCTTCTAACAGTAAGTGTCAACTTTTTAAAATAGTCTAATAGTCTCACATAATACATTATCTTTTTAAAATTTAATTTTAAGGGATTTGTTTGAATTTTATTTGAACTGACTTTAATGTTAACAAAAAGTTAAATGTATATAATACAACAGATGTATGATTTCATATTTTAAGAGATTTTTTTTTTAAGTTTTATTTATTTATTTTAGAGAGAGAGCTCCAGCTGTTCGGGGGCGGGGAGGGGCAGAGGGAGAAGGAGAGAGGCAGAGAGGCAGACTCCCTGCTGAGCACAGAGCCAGATGCTGGGCTCCATCCCAGGATCCTGAGATCATGACCTGAGCCAAAACCAAGTCAGAGGCTAACCAGCTGAGCCACCAGGCGCCCCAAGAGATATTTTTAAAATATAAAAATATGTGCAAATTTATCCATGCAAAAACTGTCAAAGTTGGTGATATAGTATGTTCCAGTCTAACAAGCTGAAGGGCAATCATTGTCTCTTAAAATTAAAATAGATTTTTTTCTTGAGTTAGCATAATATAATTTGTCTGCCTATATGTAAGCTACACTTCATATGTATGTCACAGTGAAAGTAGCCCAGGGTAAAGAGGTTTGATACATTTATTTTTTTTTTGAAACTGCAAAATATATTTTGCCAAAAATAATTTTAGACATGTATTTATTTCTTAAGTCAGACCCATTACTTGCTTGAATATTTTCATATATTTAATATGACAGAATAATAGCATTAGTTAAAACATGCTATTATGTCTGTTAGAATATCAGTTTGACCAAAACCATGGCAATATAGGCAGTCCTTGACTAATGAACAGGATGTGTTTTCCATTTGAAAGTCATTTTCATGTTATAATGGTAGGTTTTTTGAGTTAGCCAACAAAAGCCTTCTAACTTTATAATAAAAAATGACATTCTTGGTAGAGACTGAATTCTAACATGAAACTCAGGCAGCTAGGAATAACATGTTTCTCTCTCTCTCTTTCTCATGGCATGGGGCTAAAATTATCATATTTTCCCTCTCACCAGTCTCAGCAAAAACACAAACAGTTTCCTCCCTCAGCTTCCGGTCCCCCCACTTCACTTTCCTGAATCCTGTGTGAGACAGGCGGTGGGGGTGGGGGGCGCTCCTTATTCCACAGCGTCCATCAGGGACTGTGGCATTAGTCAGAGACAGGAAGATGGGAGGAGAAGGGCAAGGAGAGGTTTCTGTGGCATCTGTGCGATTTCAGCCTCAGCTGCAGAGACTGCATGAACAGCACCTGCAGTGCTGGGGGACAGATGGGGCTCCGTCGGGCAGCAACTGCATGAGCTCTAATGGTGGCTGTTCTGTAAGGCAGGGGCTCAGCGGATGGCCGCAGGATGAAGACAGTTGTGGGCAGAGGATGTTCCACCAACCCAGATTATGATACCAGTAGTCAACACTCACACAGCATTTACAATGTGCCAGGCACTGTTCTATATGCTATTTGTATATTGTCATTTAATGAGGTTGGTGCTATTATCGTTCCCTTTACACATAAGGCAACTGAGGTACAGAGCAGTTAAACGAGGTAGTAATCATTTGTATTGTGGAACCCTCATAAATTTATCTCAGGGGCTGCCTGTATACTAATTCTGCCATATTGAATGAGCCTTACTGAATGAATTTATAACCAAAAAAAGGGAAAATTAAAAATTTTATTATGTTTTATTCTGTTTATACACCACAGAATTTGAGAACCAGTGGTGCTTTGTAACACATCTTTTGCAATTCCTGCAATTCCTCATTTTAAAAATAGGAACGAGCTCTGAAGGGATTAGGTTCCTGGCGCAGTCATGCAGGTGGTTGGTAGAAGAGATGAGATCAGAGCTAGAATTAGAACTGTAGCTTCTGGCTCATAGTGTAGGGGGCTTTCTATTCATCAGATCTTCTCCGATCGTTAACATTAGTGCACATACTAAGGTTCTCCTTCTAAGTGATTTTGGGGGAGAATGCAGCTCGTTTGGAAAGGAGAGTTATAATTGCCTGCGTATACTTATATTTTCTAATTTAATGTCTAGGTTTCTGTGATTTTTTTTCCTGTTTACTTTTGTTCTTAATTTCTATTACTCATTTTAATTGAGTATTTCCATCTTCCAATATGTGAGGAGTTTATAACCTGTGAAGCCCTCCAAATTGTTTGCAAAATTTTCCTGAGCAGGATTTATATATTGAATTTAATGAGTTTCTAAAGGAGTCTGTGACCCCAAAATATTGAGAATTACTGCTGTGTTTGAGGCTAAATGCAGTGGCACTCAGACCTGTCGAGCCACACCCTGCGGGCTGGCCAGCCGGACTGTGACCAGTGCTAGACGAGAGTGCAGTCTGCAACCACGAAGCATAACACTGGAAAGAGTTTTGTTGTCTTGGCAGTTTCCAGTGAGTGTTTGGGTCTTACATGTGAGGAATGAACCTCCAAGAGCTTTCTTTTGATTCCATGAATTGGGTGGAAAAAATTAAGCCATTATTGGACTGAACTCATTGTCTATTTGAAATACCTGATGACATGGATAAACACATGGCATCCCGAACTGCTTGTGGAGTTCCTTTTTTGTTAATACAGCCAATACATTAATAGCTAGTGCTTCACTTTGCATACATGTCCAAGGTGACATGGGATAAAATATGAGCATGTAGTTATTTGCCTAAATCAAAAGGCATGTTTCCAGACGAATATGTAAATAAATGTACCTCTGCTGCTGCATGGTTAAATCATCTTTGGGCTGTTTTTAAAATAACTGATTTTTCTTTAGAAATGTGTATCTTCACATGACTTTCATGTACCCAATGATGTCACTATGTTCATAGAGGATGAACCAACAAAATGTTCCAGTAGAACGCCAGGTGCTAAAAGGATTGCTATGAGAGCAAACAAATCTTACTTTTTCTTCCTTTTCTTTTTTTCTGAAGTTACTGAGTTACATGCCCTTGCCAAGCCTGGGTCCTTCCAGACAGGCACTTAAATTACTTTGTTAAACCTTTTTATCAAAATGGAGCTGCTGTCTCCTTTACCTGCCAGTTTGTATTTAGTTTGATGAGGCTGTATAACAGAGACTCATTTAATGAAGTCAGCTAAAGAGAGAGTTCATCATGATCCTCGAAGCTCAGACTTTACATTACTTACGACAATCTGAAGAGCTTGCCATCTTAAGAAATGGTTGATGTAAAAGAGTATACCAGGTCAAAAATAAATTAGATGGTCAGTACTATGCAACCCAAACCTGCAAATAAGAATGCAATGAAAACAGATCACTTGAAGGTGCTCCAGGAAGTGAAGGTGCCAGCAGTTCTGGAACAATCTAAAATTGTAGGTGTCACACTGTTTAGCGAGAGTGGATTTATGCGGACCAACCACAAGTCAGAGTTTCTACTCAGCTGCCATATATGGGAGTCTGTTGAGAGAGAAGGGGACAGAGAGCAATATTGTTTTTAAAGTGTTGAAAATAGCAGCTTATCCCTTATTTTTATTATTTTTACGATTTAACCGCAAGAAAAGAAAGATTTTGGGGGGGAGCAATTTGGTGTCAAAAAGCAGAATAACAAATTGATCAGGTATGCCACCGATTTATAAGAGCTGTCAGTGAAGCTGAATCATCCGGTAAGCCAAGAGAAAATGGTTTAGTGGATAGATGTACTAGATGTATCAGATTTGGCTAAATTCATATCAAGAAGGGCATTTCAAAAAAAAAAAAAAAAGGGCATTTCACGGCACAGAGAATCCTCTGACGAGAACTTTGGACTTGTTAGGACAGACCAAGGGGTGATGGCATGTACAGATGCAGCATGCTGGCTTCTCCCTGTAGGAGCAGGTCCTTCCTGCTCAGAAGAGGAGCAGAAGCACATGGAGCATGAATGTTCCTGGCATATTATTTTGTATACCGAATGGAGAATGAACTTGGAGATCTAAAAGGCCAGAAATATTTTGCATCAAGCATGTAAAAATAGACTGGCATGGTCTTCTCATTTTGAAAAATAGAGCCTGGACTCCTCACAGTGAGAAGAGAATAGAAACAGCTCTTCCAGAGGGTACCCAACTATGTAGTTTGCCAAAACACCTGGAAGGATCTGAGTATTAGGACTTAACTTGGTTAATTCGCTGTCAAGGTTATACTTCTGTTTTTTGAACAAATGTTGACTGAAAAATAATGTCCTCCACTTTGGGACACTACACTTTCCAGAAGCTCTACTATTCTTTTGTACTTCAAGCTTATTCACATACATGGGGCTAGCTGTAAATTTGCTGGCCCTCTTTAGCCATTTTGAACAGAAACAGAGAGCAGAAGTTTTGGTGGCTTGAAAGTCAAGTATACCCAGTGGTTAATGAGGAAAAATTCATCCAGAGACCATCCGCCTTAGCTGCTGTAGAGCGAAATTTTCCAAAATTCTGGTAATGCTAATTTTGGCTTACAAGCAAAAATAATTGACCAAGAAGAGAAACTACAAAAACTAAATTCGTACCTATGCCTTATTTCTCAGAAAACAGGGGTTAAGGATGGCAGGAGAGAAGTAGGGGCAAACCTGCCTGGACTTAGTCTCACATAAATAATATAAAAGTGAACTTTAAAAAAAATCAGTATGTTTATCTTACATCATTTTTGGCGTCTCTGATAAGAAAATGGAATGCAAACAACTTATATTCATCGAAAAGCCTGGGGATAATTCTCATGTGCATTCTGTACAAGTTTTATTAACATCAAAATTTTAAAATACCCTTCCCAACAAAGCAACACAACAAAGAATTTCTACTATATAATAAACAAATGTAGGACACAGTAACTTGAATTTACTGATTATGTTCTAGGCATATTTTGCATTTTTCTGGTGTTTTGGAAGCTCAGTGATCAAGGAGCAGAAGCCAGAGTCTGTCTAGGGGCAGATAGACCTGGGCAAGCCATCTGGTCCCACCATTCACTTGCTGTGTGATTTTGAGCCTCAATTTCCTTTTTTTAATGTTTTTTGTTTTTTTTTTTTAGATTTTATTTATGTGTGTGAGAGAGAAAGAAAGACAGAGAGAGAGCACAAGAGGGGGGAGGGCCAGAAGGAGAAGCAGACTCCCAGCTGAGCAGGGAGCCCAGTGAGGAACTCTATCCCGGGGCTCCGGGATCATCACCTGAGCCGAAGGCAGTCGTTTAACCAATTGAGCCACCCAGGCGCCCCGAGCCTCAATTTCTTTATCTGTAAAATTAGGTAATAGTAAAGCCTACCTCATAAGGGACTATTTCAACAACATCACCATTATTATTATTATTAATAAACATTAATATTCTGTGTCTCCTTTTGTAGATGATGTTAAAAAATTGTTAAGGGAGTTAGATGTCATGAATTCCATCATTGCTCAGCTTGCTCCAGAAGGTAACTTTCCATCGTACATCTGTTTCAAAAGTGGGGCTGGTTTATTTTTCACATTGGGTTGAACTACTCATCGAAAATAGTTTATGTAGTATCAGTTGTGAATTGTCATTAAAATCTCTCAAACCAAGATGGGCTCCAACCAAGTAAGATTTGTGAAGCTTTGGTTTTCAAAACATGTTTTAAAGTAATGTTTGAGTAAGCCTTTTGCATACTTGTGTTGTTTAACTCTGATGCGCAGAGGAAGTGGTTATCCATGAGTTTGCCAGTCTTTGCCTGGCGAACATGTCTGCAGAGTATACCGGCAAAGTGCAAATATTTGAGCATGGTGGGTTAGAGCCACTCATCAGACTGCTGGCCAGCCCAGACCCTGACGTGAAGAAGAACTCTATTGAGTGCATTTACAACTTGGTCCAGGTGAGGGTAATTTCTAAAAGTGTATTTTGACCATACCTATTTATAGAATTTATTTCAGGATTGCTTTGCTATTTAGGGTCTTTTGTGGTTCCATACAAATTTTAGGATTGTTTGTTCTAGCTCTGTGAAAAATGCTGTTGGTCTTTTGATAGGGATTGTATTAAATGTGTAGATTGCTTTGGGTAGTATAGACTTTGTTCTTCCAATCCATGAGTATGGGATGTCTTTCCTTTTCTTTATGTCCTCTTCAATTTCTGTCAGTGTTTTATACTTTTCAGAGTACAGGTCTATGAAAGGGCATTTTAGAAGTGTATTTAAATTTTGAAAGAATAGAATGGCTTGCAAATTAAGGCAGGATTATACTAGATGAATGTATTTCTTCTGACAAAGGATATCTAATATATTGAACTAAGTTTGACTCGGGCAGTTATTTATTGACCTAACCTTGGTGATCTAAGCACATTGGGTGCAATATATGCCTTATTCAGTGTACCAAGTTAGACTTATTTATTGGTGAAGACCCAGTGAGTTGAGTACACCGAACAGAACTCATTGTTCACAATTGGAAGATGCTATGTCACTGAACTGTCTTCCTTTGTTATGGAAAGAAACAGCCTCCCTTGGCCTCTTCCCCCCTGCGCTGTTCTGTGTCCCCGCCCCTGCTGCAGCCCCACAAGACACACACACTCACACCCACAGCAGGTCAGCTTCCTGACACTGGACAGCCTTCTCCGCTTCTTTCCCTGCTCAGGTTCCTGAACAGTTCCCACACACACTTGATAAGCTTTAGATCAACTGAAGATACAAAAACACCATCTTAAATAGCCAGCAGTGGAGTAGAAAAGGAAGAGAGAGTGAAAATGAGGCCTCCCTTTCATGGAGAGGCAATGAGCTTGTGCCCAAAGACAGCAAAGCATACCTACATTCCTGGCCTTAGAAGTTATTGCCACATGGCTGGGCACTCACTGGCTTCTGCCCTTGCTCTTGCCTGAGGGAGACATGCTGAAGGAAGCTCAGCTGTTTACCTTCTCTCAGCCCATAGGCCTAAATAACCCTGTCAATGTGTTAGTGTCTTTCATCTCAAGACTCCTCATAGCTTTTATTTCCCTGTATTTTTTTTTATCAAACAGAAATGAAAAGCTTGCCTCCACTATTCTTCAGAACAGAAGTATACTAGTTAATGACAGTATATTAATTTCCTTGGTTTACAACTTCATCATTGCAATCTCTCCCTCTGTTGTGTCTCATCTTCTTTTAAAGATACCATTCTTCGGGCGCCTGGGTGGCTCAGTCGTTAAGCGTCTGCCTTCGGCTCAGGTCATGATCCCAGGGTCCTGGGATCAAGCCCCGCATCGGGCTCCCTGCTCCGCGGGGAACCTGCTTCTCCCTCTCCCACTCCCCCTGCTTGTGTCCCCTCTCTCGCTGTATCTCTCTCTGTCAAATAAATAAATAAAATCTTTAAAAAAAAAATAAAGATACCACTCTTATGAAGACACCATTAAGTACCCACCCTACTCCACTATGAACTTATCTTAACTGATGACATCTACCATGACCCTATTTCCAAATAAGGTCACATTTTGAGGGTTAGGACTTCCAACTTATATTTTGGGAGGGACACAATTCAACCTATAACAAATAGCAACCCACAATTTTTATATCTGTAGGAAGCATTCATTGAAGAATGGATAGAGAAACCTATCCAGTTAGTGGGGTTTTTCCACCTTTAATACTATTTTACGTTTATGATGTTTTGCTTTTAAGTGTCATGATTTAGCAGTCAGAGTTCAGGGGCTTTTCATGACTTTTTGCTCTGTTTTCTCCATTCCTGACCCCCGAGTAGCCCTCTCCCCACCACTCACACACACAAAATTATAGACACACACTGTGGAGCAACTCATCTAGACTCTAATGACCCCTTGATATTGTAAATGTCTTAAATAAAGGTCATGTGTCTGAACTAAACCTGATAAAAATTTGTGTGCACAGGGTCTGCCAACAGCATTGAGTGCATGTAAGCATTTCATAAACATTCCATTCGAATAAAGATAATAAGGAATTGATGCCATCCTTTCGTTTTATCAAATACTATTTGAAACAAGGTACAGAGTGTGAAAAGAATTTGATTATGCACAGATTTATTGTAATGCTATTTGTAATAACAGGAATTTGCCAGATAATAAAGAAACAATAAAAACTGCAGAAGTCATAGATCACATCTATTTCCTGTTATTGACAATGTCTGCAGAGTTAAAATGAATATTTAGGTGTTGTCAGTTGAAGGTTTGCTTATTTTTTGTGTGAGGTATTTTGGAAGGGAATCTGGAATAAAAGATGGGAAATTTATAACTTATAATGTCCTTTGTTAGAAGATAGAGTTTTCCATTCTTGAGACTAACTGTATTTTGCTTTAAAAGTTACTTATTTGATCATTTGTATTTCATGGCAGGATTTTCAGTGTCGAGCTACACTTCAAGATCTAAATGCAGTCCCCCCTATATTAGATCTCTTGAAGTCAGAATATCCAATTATTCAATTGTTGGCTCTCAAAACCTTAGGTGTTATTACAAATGATAAGGAGGCACGGGCAATGCTAAGAGACAATCAAGGAGTGGACCACCTTATTAAAATCCTAGAAACTAAGGTATTTGTAACTTTCATTCAACTCTCTACAAGGAAATGTGTCTCTTCTAAATGTTGTTATAAAATATGAATTATAGAATATTTTTTAAAAATGAAATTTTAATATATTTAGGCATAGTACTAAGTATAATGGACTAATTTGCTTATTGCTACATTGTTTATCAGCATGATTAAATCAGATTTATGATAGATTATAAAATAATTTTGTTATCTTCTGGTTTAGAAATTTAAGATTTTTAAATTCTTGTTTAGGATCTTGTTTATGATTTCCTGAAATACCTAGAATTAGTCTTTTAGGCTTTATCGGCCATAGTTTTCTCAAAGGAAAAGTAAGAAGAGTGATTTACTCCTCATTGTGGAGAGTAATCAGCTTTACTCAGTCTATTGACTTAAATATAATTTTCATCTAAAGAAATACTTTCACAGAAACATCTAGAATAATGTTTGACCAAATATCTGGATACCATGGCCTAGCCAAGTTAAAACATGAAAATTAATCATCATAAGTTCATCACTTATAAATTTGGCACTCATACACATCTCCTTGAATCATACTCAGTCTCCAAATAAAGGCAGTAGAAAGGTCCTACTTCTGCCTGGAATGATATAACTATCCTGTGTACAACCAAAACACACTAACCCTTTCTCCAGACAGGATGCAATGATGTTTACTCTTCTCCTTGATATTCTGTAACTTAAACACTATGATGTAAAATTAATGCTAATTTTTAAAGTTAGTACATCTTATGTTACCTAAGGGGATAAGACAGGGGGAAAAAAACAACGATATTTCATAATGCACACATACACACTTATTTTTAACAAAATAAGGAAGAAATACTCATGGCAGTTACAACCCTTTTGTCTATAAGTGGCCACATGGTGGTAGTTGGTATTTATAACTAACTTTCCTTCAATACACATTCCATATTCCCTTTGCCCTCAGCAAGCACTTTAGCTGCATTTGATTCTTTACCTGGTAGGGTAATCCATGTCTTCATTCCTGAGGGTCTGGGCCATTAGTAGTCCTGTCTGGATTGGGTAATTGTAGTTTTCCATTGACCTTAATCACAAGGCATGGTAATACTAACAGACACCCTAAGGACTTCCTATATTCTAGATACAGTCTTCTTACCTCTACTGTGGAGTAGCAGTCCAATTTCCCCTTGGTAACTGGGATCAGTCACCCCAGCAGGACTGTAACTCCCTTCTTTGCCTGCTTTAGAGGCATGGGGAGGCCAAAGTGGCTGGGTGGCAGTTTTAACTTCCAGTACAGTGGAATCATTGTTGTGTCTCTTGGTGGAAGCATTCTCCCCTTTGGAACTAAGACCTCTAGGCCGGCAGAGCATAAGGTCTGGGAGGCAGGAAGCAAAAATGTTGCTAGTGGGTCCCTAGGGGTAATCATGAGTGCTGCCACATTCATTTCCACCCCCTGATTCCGGGACCCACCATCACTGGCTATGGGAGAAACGGCACCATATATTGGATGCTGATTCGGAACATAATAACCTCGTGGAGAACCTTGCCCAGGCCCCTGCAAGGTATTGCCACTTTGCTGACATGGTAACTAAGTCTTCAAAAGGCCATTCTGTCAAGCCAGTTGCTTCAGGATGGCAGGCATCATGGTAAGACAGGGAATTCCATGAGCATCCTTCCTGTGTTCCTCTCACTTTAAGGATTCCCACTTTAAACATCTCGCTGTTCGGGCAAGGCTGCAGTTTTCCACAGCGATGGGGTTTCGGGAGATTCCTCAGGCAAGAGGGCCACAAACTTACAATATTTCCTCTACCAGTAGGAGATTTTAAGGAATACACTTTTCTTCAGCTTCTGTTTGCTTTTTCAAAGAATATTTTCTTCAGATTTTAAAATTGTTATTGGTAGAAGAAGTTTGTATGAGCAACTTCACCTTGCCTACCATTACTGGAAATGTCCAGTAATTATCTTTTATCTGTGGAACATTTTGGAGTAGGGGAAACAAGAAGAGATGGGGCAAATTGTGAGGGAGAGCGATGTTATGATCATAAACAAAACTGTTTCCTTGGACCTCTGTCACAACAAAGTTAACAGCATTACGTTCTGACTGACCTTTGTCTTATAGTGAAATTTGGGAAGTATCAATCTCTTTTATTACAATTTTCTAAGGTTGTGTTTGCTTTTATTATTAGGAATTGAATGACCTTCATATAGAAGCACTTTCTGTGATAGCAAATTGCCTTGAAGATATGGATACTTTGGTGCTCATTCAGCAGACAGGGGGTCTTAAGAAGCTCCTCTCATTTGCAGAAAACTCTACAATTCCTGATATTCAGAAGAATGCAGCAAAAGCAATAACTAAAGCAGCTTATGATCGTATGTCTTATTTTATATAAACTAAGCACACATACTTCCTCTTTTATTCTTGATTTTGATTAGTACTAACAAGCACTAGAGTATTTGTCTGCTTTTAAATGGTCCTCTGAGAATAGCGCCATATTTACTATTTGGGGCCAAAATTCATCCTAATGCCAATGAGTAAAAGTAGAGATTGCTTTGTCAGGGATATAATAAACTCTATGATTTAATTACTTTTTTAAAGTAATTCATTCGTAAATTAAGTTTTTAAGCCTTTATTTCTCTTGATTTTGAAATTTTACAGAATCCATGCATTGTTTGTGATCCTGAAAACATTGTTTCGATATGGAATGATATCTATACAGTAATTTCAACTTCAGCCAGGGACTAGCAGAGCCATGTGATATAGCTGTGAAAAATAATATGCTCATACTATATACATAATACAATTTTCATTTCAGTGGCAAGCTATGTTGACATAAATCTGTAAAATATGAGAGATTAATTACATCACAAGCACTGAAGATGAAATTATAGTTTTAATTTATGTATATTTGGAATATTTTATTTAATAAAAGAAGTGATTTTATTTCCCCCTTCCACATCACTCCTCTTATAAATGATGACAGTTTTGACTAGTTTAAGTGATTTATATTCTAAACATATATACTCACATCTGTATATATGTCTGTGTGTACATTATGGGAAACATTTGCTTCTCAATCCATACTGATTTCTTCAAGGCAGAGTTTTATTGCAGTAAGTCGAGTTTTACCATCCAGCACATAGTTAACATAGAGGGAAGTTGCCAAATCTAGACAGGCTGTAAAATTAAAGTTTTTAATACTGGAAAAAGTTGCTTGATTCAGTGTTCTGTCATATGGAATTTAGACCTTATCAAACCTGATCAGTTCTGTTTTCCAACTTTCTCAGGACTTCTTAGCTATTTGAGACCAAAAGAAAGGGCAATGGCAAGACACAGACAATATCAGACCTAAAATTTTTGCAATTTCTCTTTTGTCTAATGTGGTTGGACCATTTCAAGATGGTCGCAGCCCCTCTTGGGATAGTGAGTTTCATGAGTTTATTACTCATCATGTGACGTAGCAGTGGGAAGAGCACTGGGTGGAGAGTCCCTGGTGGTCCAATTCTACTGCTAGTCCCACTACTGGCACTGCGATGACCTAGGTTGTGACTATGAGTGAACCACAGCCTCTCTGGACCTATTTATTAATGATTTATTGAGCCCCCACTCTGTGTCAATAAACCCAGAACAGGCAAGGAAACAGGTGATCACACTGTAGTATTAAATGAGCTTGATGCTAGAAGAACAGGATCACTTGCAGGGGCCACCTAATGTCAACTTGGATCAGATAGATCTTCCTGACATAGGTGATTTACAAGCTAGGACCTGAAGTAAATAATAGAAATTGGCTGGGCAAAGAAGGTCGTGGTGGGATGGGGAAGATCACCAGTGTTCCAAGGAGAAGGAATGGTGTATAAAGGCCAGAGGAGAGACAGAGCATGGTAAATTCCAGAACTGAAAATTTTCAGAATGGCTAGTGAATATAATGCAGCAGAAAACTGAAAGTGAAAGCTGAAGAAGTAATGAGGAGCCAGATGCAAATGGGTGATAGAGGCCAAGTTAAGGACTTTGGACCTTATTTTGATGGCAACAAAGAGCCACTGAAGTGGCTTAGAGAGGTGAGGGACCATTACAGATACTCACTTTTTAAAGAAGGAAGGCTCTTGCTGCAAAGTGGAGGAGATATTAGAAGTGTGCAGGACCAGACCCAGAAAAGACCAGGAAGGGGATTGCTGTGGTAATCTAGGTGGAAGGTGAAAGTATCCTGAAACAGACATTTGCAAGGAGGACCACCAGCACAGTGCTTGGCACATTGGGAGGGCCCATAAGTGTTTGTTGATTGACTACATGGGTTGGAGGAGGAAGAAGGCAATGCCAAGGATAAGGCCAGGTTTCTGGCTGGGATGGCTGGAGGTAGAATGGTGCCATTCACAGAAATGGGGAACTCAAGAAGAGGAGCTGGTTTTGATGAAAGGAAAGGAAATGAGTTCTATTCTTTCAAAAATGGTGGTAAAAGGGGTGCCTGGCTGGCTCAGTTGGTGGAGCATTGTGACTCTTGATCCTCAGGGTCATGAGTTCGAGCCCCATGTTGGGTGTAGAGATTATAAATAAACTGTAAAATAAATAAATAAATAAATTAATTAATTAATTAATAGAAATTATGGTAAAATACACATATAATATTAAGTTTACTGTCTTAACCAATTTTAAGCTCAGTGGCATGAAGTACATTCATGTTTTTGTGCTACCATCACCAACATCCGTCTCCAGAACTCTTTTCATCTTGCCAAAGAGACACCCTGTACCTGTGGAACAACAAACTCCCCCTTCTCCCTCCTTGCAGTCCCTGACAACCACCATCCTCTCTGTCTCTATGATTTTGACTATTTTAAGTCCTTATATAGGTGGAACCATACAATATTTGTCCTTTTGTGACTGGCTTGTTTCACTTTGCGTGACTTATTCTCAGGTTCATCCATGTTCTAGCGTACATCAGAATTTCCTTCCTTTTTAAGGCTGACGAGTGTTCCATAGTATTGTATATATCACATTTTGTTGATCTATTTGTCTATTAATGGACACTTGGGTTGCTTCCACTTTTTGGCTACTGTGAATAATGCTGCTCTGAACATGCACATACAAATAGCTTTTCAAGACCCTGTTTTCAGTTCTTTGGGGTATACTGACTGGACTTGTTGGATCATATGGTAATTCTGTGTTAAATATGTTGAGGAGCTGACATACCATTTTCCATAGCAGCTACACTATTTTACATTCCCATCAACAGGACACAAGGGTTCCAATTTCTCTACATTCTCACCAATACTTGCTATGTTGTTTATTTAATTAGTTAGTCAATAGCCATGCTAATAAGTATGAGGTGGTATTTCATTGTGTTTTGGTTTGTACTTCTCTAATGATTAGTGATGTTGAGCATTTTTTCCATGTGCTATTGTCCATTTGTTTCTCTTCTTTGGAAAAAATATCTACTTAAATCCTTTGCCCATTTTTTAACCAGGTTGGTTTTTGTTGTTGTTGTTTTGTTGTTGTTGTTGTTATTGAGTTGTAGGAGTTCTTTATATATTCTGTGGGTAGTAACTCCTTATCAGATGTATGATTTGCAAATATTTTCCCCCATTCCATGGGTTGCCTTTTCACTCTATTGATTGTGTCCTTTGATGCACAGTTTTTAATTCTGATGTAATCCAATTTATTTTTTCTTTTGTTTCCTGTACTTTTGGTGTTATATCCAAAAAATCATTAACAAATCTGATGTCAGGAAAATTTTCCCCTGTTTTTGTCTAAGCATTTTATAGTTTTATCTCTAATGTTTAGGTCTTTGATCCATTTTGAGTTGTTTTTGTATACGGTGTAAGTTAAGGATCCAACTTCCTTCTTTTGCAAGTGGAAATCCGTTTCCTAGCACCATTTGTTGAAATCCATTCTTTATTTGTAATACAAAGAAACTCAACCAGACAGTCTTTAAATTCCATCTGGCACTTTATGTTTTATGAATCTACTTCCTTATGTTAGTTCTAAAATGACTATATTCCAGTTCCAAATTGTGTCTCCTCACTATTTTAGAATCAAATGACTAAATCTGTATTTATTACATCTATGTCATTTGTGATTTTTTTCATGTTTCCTTTAACCACCATTTTTCCAGACTGAAGAATCTGTATTTTACTTAGTCTTTCCCCATATATCACGTCTGTAGCCTATCCTATAATCATCCTCTTACTTTTTCTGGACTTTCTCTTGTTCACAATACCCTCTTTGAAGTAGGGTGATATGTATTATGAACAGCATTTTAAAAACATGCACCGTCATTTTATGTAATATAAAAATATCTTATGATTATTTCTTTTTAAAGATTTTATTTATTCATTTGCGAGAGAGACAGAGAGAGAACAAGCAGAGGGAGAGGCAGAGGGAAAGGGAGAAGCAGACTCCCTGCTGAGCAAGGAGCCCGATGTGGGACTCGATCCCAGGACCCTGGGATCATGACCTGAGCCGAAGGCAGACGCTTAACCATCTGAGCCACCCAGGCGCCCTCTTATGATTATTTTTAATTTCAGTTTTATGAAGCAAGTATTTTAATCAGCCTTTTGACCATGTCAGCAAACTGAGCCAACACTTTGAGGGAAAGACCTACAGTGAACCCCAGATCCCATTTCTCCATCAGGACCCAGAGTTCAAAGTCTTCCATTTTAAATTCTAACATTTTTTGATTTGTAGTTAAAAAATGCAAATTTTGCTTTGGAAATAATATTGCATTTTCACTGAGGTCTAGGAAATAATCAGTGTATACTAGTCTTCTATGAAATCTTGAAAAGGTATGTTCTTTGCTTACTAAACAAATATTTATTCTATGCATGCTATATGCAAGGCACTATTCTAGAAGATAAAGGTAAACAATGAATAAAATAAGTGGATAAATATTTGTTGAATAGAAAAAAAGATGTATTTCCAGTGGAATGTAGAGTTTGATATTTGCCTTTTAGCTCAGCTTTATAAACTACATTGTACAGTTTTTGTCATCCTTATTTTTTATCTATTCTTTGATGTATCACAGAAGAAGAGTGGTATGTTAGAAGTTTCTCACTATGTTATTTCTGTTGATTTTTTCTTGTAATTTTATTTTAACTAACTTTGCTTTATTTAATGTTATTTTATATCCATTAGTGATTTTTTTTAAAAAATCTCATTTAATTGATTTTTAGCTTTAAATTCTAATTTGATATTAAGATTGCCATTTATCATCAAATATGGTCTTGGCAAAAACCAGCTCTGTAATCTCCAGACGGTTTAAATAAAGAGACAAATGAAGGGACTACTTTCCAAAGTACAGTTAGGGTTAAGGGAACAAACAACGGATGGTGAGATCCCCACAGATTAGCAATATCTTATCTCCATCCCTTATCCTTAAGCATGCGACTTCTGCTTCTACCATTCTGCCAAAACAGTCCTTGTAGAATTTGACATTAACTTCCCAGCTCCTAAATCTTACAGACATGTCACTTAGCTAATTATTCTCTTCTATTTATTTATTTACCTCCTTATGCTGTTTACATGGCCAGATCGACAATAACCACCTCCTCTGCCCTGCCTCCATTCTATATATATACTGTGCTTTTTTTTCAACCCCTACCTATATTTCTTGTCTACCCCTTCTTATATCAACTCTTGCCTGCCTTGACTTCTCTCTGCCAGACCTAGCCAGATCGAGCATGCTTTATTTTATATTAATTAGTAACAATGGTAAACTCTAAAAACTTAACAAGGATTCACAAAGTTATCTCCTAATATTTCTGTATTGAAAATACATAATTGTGAATTTTCAAAATAATTTTCCACAGTTAGAAAATCCTAGAAGAGAGCACAGGCAGTAATTTCTCTGACATAAGCCATAGCCACATTTTTCTGGATATGTCTCCTGAAGCAAGGAAAACAAAAGCAAAAATAAACTATTGGGACTACATCAAAATAGAAAGCTTCTGCACAGTGAAGGAAGCAATCAGCAAGACTAAAAGACAACCTACCAAATGAGAGAAGCTATTTGCCCTGTTAGAAAACTCCATTCATAAGCAGATTTTAACAAATACTGCTCTTTATCCTGTTATTAAGAATAATGTAACCATCAGGATTCATTTATAACATTTTTTTTTTACTTTCCATCATCATCAAACATTTTTTGTAGATTAGGTAATGCATTGTCATTGGATGTCAGAAACACAGTTGAAACACACAAACACATAACACACAACCTTGAAGTTTTGTTTGTTGAGTACTTTTTAACCTGCGTGCCCACCCCACCACAGAAAGCCCAGACCAGTATGCCTTTGACCTGGCGCCAGGAGGAGGAAGGTGTTAATTACCACGTTGCCATGAGGTTTATGAACTGGCATTAACATCTCAGCAGGAGCAAAGGTGGTACACTAGCAACTTCCGAGAGTGGGTGAAGAAAGCATCATTACGTGCAGATTTATTTCCAGTTACAAAACCTCATGCTTTTTATTTTAGTGATACTGCACAAATGTTCTTTGTAAAGGACATTACTCTATTAGTCGCATAATTACCTTGCCATCTTTATTATCTGTGTAATTAAAACATAAATATTTTACTTCTTGGTGTAGCAATTCAATGAAGGTACTTGGTTAATATGTTAATTCATCTTTTAAATCGATTATAGCCACACTGCAGTCAGCACTTTTGAGGTTTGGTGAACACAGCTGGGTTTTGAGAACACTCCCAGCAGGGCTGAGAAACTAATTGCCCACAGTACTTAGATTATTTTGAAAAATCTTTCCAGTAATGGCATATATAATGTTTTTTGAATGCAAAAACTGCATTACAACTGCATACTCCAAAGTTAGTCTTTACAAATTAATTCTTTTGGCCGATTTCCCTGGTAGAATTTGCTCTCAGACTGTTCTGTTTAGTGAAGTTAATTTAGAGCTTGAGATTCAGGGAAGTCTTAATTATAAATCTAAGCATTTTAGGTCAGAGACTCTAGAAAACTTTCAGATCTTGTTTATTCAGGGATTACTAATCAGGACTACATATATTTTAAAACATTTCAAAAGCCACATACTTGAGATTTAACTATTAATCACAACATTTTTATAAAACAATTCTGACCTGAGTCCTAATTTTAAATGAAAGGAGCAAGGGATTAAAATGATAGGATTACAGGACATGGTTCATAATTGGTTTAAGACAAATGAACAGAAGTGGTAGTAATTTAGCTGGTGCCAGTTATGATCAGATTGCGGTGTATCCGATGAACAAAGGCCAAAAATGTTTGCAAAGATGGTGGCATCTGAATGTGATTCTGCTTCTGTGAGGGGGGCAATTTAAAAAACTCATTGTTGGAAGATAGAAATCGTATATTAACTTCAAAGTGGAAAACCAGTTTCGATAACTTCTCAGAATATTCCTGGAAAAACAAGCTAATTACAGTATATGTAAGTAATGAATTACTTCCACATGCAGATCTTATGTATGACCTAAATTAGTATCAGCAGTTTTTGCAGAGATTTTTATTCTAACAGAATAATCTCTTATGTATTCACCTCCTAAGAGCCTGTATCACACATTCTTCTGTTTTAATCAAGAAAATTGAGTTTATGATGGTCAATTCATGGAGAATCAACCCTAAGACAAAGTTTATTGAAGGAACTGTAAATAAATTAGCAAAGAATTATTTGTAAGCTGTTGCTTTTCAAACTAGTCTCTGGTACCTCTTATGGCATTAAAATTGAGTTTGGTTAATATACCTTTTTTCGAGACCATGTCTTTAATAAATAGTAATTTATTTAGAATTAACTATAGAACACAGAACAAAAAATTAGGTTTTAATGTTCTAATTTAGTTTAATGTGGTGTTTGCTTAGTACAGTAATGAGGTTGTCATTTATTTAAAAAATGAAACAAAATCAAGAGAAAAACATTAGGGAACAAAAAGAACATTAAAAATACTTGGGTTTTTCATTTAGTGTTCTATGATGGAGTGAATATGGTATGTACTTAGAGTCATAATTTTGTTTTCAAACAAAGAAAATCATGCTAATATATGTTTAGATTATATTGATGGTAATTTAGCAATTAAATATTTAATTTTCGCTACAACAGCATGTATGGTAACGAGGTAAAAAATGATTATGATTTTTTGATATAAGATTATAAATCCTTAAGACTTGGGATCATACTCTATTACTCCTTTTTCACTTCCTCCTCTCCTCTCTTTTTCTCTCAAGCATCCAGCATGCCAGTTTGTACACCTTAGGCATTCTTCAAATATTGAGTTTTGTATTTAAAGTGAACATCAAATCAACAGGGCTTTGTCCTTAGTGTGAAGAAAGCATTGTGAACACGGCACCACGCCAGGCCCCATGATTGGCGTTAAATAAGTTCTCTCTAAATCTGAAACGTGCCTTTTTCTTATTATAGAATTGTCATTTTTTTAAAAGATTTATTTATTTGTCTTAGAGAGACAGACAGCACGAGCAGGAGGAACAGAGGGAGAGAGAATCTCAAGCAGGTTCTGCACTGAGCGCAGAGCCTGATGCAGGGCTCGATCTCACAACCCTGAGATCATGACCTGAGCTGAAACCAAGAGTCAGAGGCTTAACCGACGAGGCTTAACACCCAGGCACCCCTAGAATTTTCTTTGCTGCGTTATTGATATCATATTAGTGAAAAAATTCCAATATCCATAAGTCATTTTGCATAATCACTGTGTTTTAAAGGTTAAACAGGTGTATATTTTGTTTAGTTTTAAAGCTAAGAAATAGTTTGAATTCCTGTTATATTTTAGATGGGGAAGTAGTTACCCTTGCACAGTTTTTGCAGCAACATTCTGATTTTTTTTTCCTCTTGGTTTATGCAAGCTGAAAATAGAAAACTCTTTCACGAACAAGAGGTCGAAAAATGCCTTGTGGCCCTTTTGGGTTCTGAAAATGATGGAACGAAAATTGCTGCCTCCCAAGCTATTTCGGTGATGTGTGAGAATTCAGGCAGCAAAGAATTTTTCAATAATCAGGGTAAGCAAACCAGACAGACCCATTTTTAGGCCACCAAACTGTCGTTTACCTGGATGTTTATAGACCCACATCTTCCCTTTTGGTTTCTGCAGGGATTCCACAGTTAATTCAGTCGCTCAGGAGTGACAGTGAAGAAGTAAGGGAAGCCGCGGCCCTCGCCCTAGCTAATCTGACCACATGCAACACGGCAAATGCAAAGTGAGTACCAGACAACCTAACACTGCCTTGTTTGGGGCCACCCAACAGTCCAACATATTCTGACTGTAATATTTTGGCTTTCAAGGCAGTGTACATATTCTGTCAGCTGTTCTATCTTGGATTATTCCTCAGAAACCCTCTCGTTTGGAAGATTCCAGAACAAACAGAACTGGAGAGTGCTGGAAATAGTAAAGACAACTTTATATAAACCTTTGATACATCTAGAAAAAATTTAAAAGATCCATTTTAAAATGACATAAACATTAGGCAAATCTAGAAACATTTTAAAAAGTCAATCTGAAACAACATAGTATGGGTAAATACTATGAGGAAAGATTAGAAAGGAATGCCCTCTGCATTCCAAACACTGTGGTACATGATCTGTATTTGTTATAAATTTTAATTATCTAGATAATCTGTCAACAAATGAGAAAACTGAGGCTCTGCAATTTACCTAATTTTCCTGGGTATACAAATTTATTAAAATATCTGAGCTGGAAATTAAACCCAGGTCTGCTGGCCTCCAGAATCTATGTTCTTTTCTCTATAGAAGACCACCTCATAAAAGAGTGAGAATTTCTTGAAGGCAACTTTCATAAATAAAATAATTATTTTCCCTCCCTATATCTCATTTGGCATGCTTATTAGTCAGGATTCTCTAGAGAAACAGAACCGATAGGACATAATATACATAGACATGGAGGTTTATTATAGGAATTGGCTTATGTGATTATGAAGGCCAAGAAGTTTCATGATCTGCCATCTGCAAACTGGGGAACCAGGAAAGATGGTGGTATAATTTAGTCCGAGTTTGAAGGCCTGAGAGCCAGGGGAGCCAGTGTCTCAGGGCAGGAAAAGATGAATGTCTCAGCTTAGGCAGAGAGCAAGTTCACCTTTCCACTTTCTTTGTTCTATTTGGACCCTCAATGGATTAGGTGATGCCCACCCACTTTGGTGAGAGCAACCTTTGCTCAGTCTACTGATTCAAATGCTAACCCTTTCCAGAAACACCTTTACAGACACACTCAAAAATAATGTTTTACCAGCTACCTGGATATTGTTTAGCCCAGTCAAGTTGACACATAAAGTCCACCATCACAATACGTAAGTTATTAACTTTCGTATATTATTCCTTTGTGGCATTGTGGCTAAAATTACTTTTTTAACTTGAAATAAATCTTCCTCCACCTCCCTCATATACTTAATCTATTTCTTACCCTTTCTTTCCCTTTCACTCCTCCCACACAAATATTTTACAAATCCTTAATGCAATGACTAAAAATCTAACAATGCCTGATTCAAATTCAGCCAAAATGTATAAGCATCAGAACAAAATTGTGTTCCGTTAAAAGCTACAATCTTTGACACGGTAATTTCCAAAATTCAGGGTCATCATCATCTATATGAAAGCACACAAATTTCTAGAATATTGAGTCATAGTAAGTAGCAATTTGAAAATAGCATATTTAGTGATTGTTCTAGTATCGTCGGGCTGGTGCTAAAGTCTTATCAGTGACACTAAAACACTTCTATCTCAGGTGCATTTCGATTTATATATTACCTAAAACACTTTAACAGGCCTCCAGAGTGTATAGACATCGTAATTTGATGTGAGTTTGCCTGGCTTAGTTCATCTCACAGTTTTATATAAAATCATAGAAAATTAGGATGTTAAGTAGCTTCTAAAAGAGGCTGCCTCCAGATTTTCTCTTGCAATTTAATCATCTATTTCACAGAATTTTGTCATCTGACTCTAGGTTCCATTTTGTCAACATAGAAAGCTCAATTAACACTAAATGATGCCACACATCTCTATTTTTGTAATTTATTTTTTTATAAATTTTCAATTGCCGTTATTTAATCTATAATATATTGTCCTTTCTGATTTTTTTTGTTTTTCAATTTGTGTTTGGTATGGGAAATGGGACATGAATAAAAGTGGTTTTATGGATGTCTTTTGAGGCCTATATAGTTTTTACTTTGGACTTTTGAGCTAAAAGATATTGAAAATAAATATTTCTGAGGAGGAGATGGAGTCAGATTTGACATGTTTGTGCCAAATGCTGAGGACTGGAGTTGACAAAGATTCTATAGTCAATCAAAAGGAATGAAAACAAATAAGCCACATTGTCTATTCTTCTAGCAAGCCTCTTAGAGTATTAATTAGAACCACAACAGAAGAGACAGCAACCATGATTGATTATTTTTAATAAGAAGTGTTTCCTACTCAGATCATCTTTAAAAACATATTAGCTTAAACAGCGTTGGTGAGTATTTCTAGCATTACATTTTAGAAGCGGGGCCTTAGATCACCTTTCCTCGCTGTGGGATAGGGGTTGGGGGGCTGAGTCACGGCTCTGCTGCTGGGGTGGTGAGACTAGAGGATAGAAAGAATGTTGCTTTTCTGCCACACCTAAGTGGTAAAAGAAGGCAAAAAACCAGAACTAATGTCTTCTGGGTGCACTGGGTAGCTGTTGAGGTACCTGATAATTGCTGGCCTAATTAAAAAAAAAAAAATTGCAGTTAAGAACTGTGAATACTAATTTTGTTAGAAAACAACCCTTCTCCGACATTCATATCCCTATGTGCCTAAAATGGATTTCTAATTCTTTTTTTTTTTTAAGATTTTATTTATTTATTTGACAGAGAGAGACACAGCGAGAGAGGGAACACAAGCAGGGGGAGTGGGAGAGGGAGAAGCAGGCTTCCCACGGAGCAGGGAGCCCGATGTGGGACTCAGTCCCAGGACCCTGGGATCATGACCCCAGCCGAAGGCAGATGCTTAACCGACTGAGCCACCAAGGCGCCCTGGATTTTTAATTCTTAAAGCCAGGGCACCTTCTAGAGTTGGAGGCCCATTTCATGAAATGAATATTCTCTGGTGTGTTATGATTACATTTAATGCTGATAAAATTTCCTTTATGTAACAACAGATTTTTGCCTGGCAAGTTGTGGGTAAATTAAAATTTTCTAAGTTAAAGGAAAAAAAAACAACAACGGGGTGCCTGGGTGGCCCAGTTGTTAAACGTCTGCCTTTGGCTCAGGTCATGGTCCCAGGGTCCTGGGATCGAGTGCCGCCTTGGGCTTCCTACTCCGCGGGAAGCCTGCTTCTCCCTCTTCCACTCCCCCTGCTTGTGTTCTCTCTCTCGCTGTGTCTCTGTCAAATAAAGAAATAAAATCTTAAAAAGAAATAATAAGTTAAAGGAAAAAAAATCAACCAGAGGAAGGAAAAATATACTTTGTGGTGACTTTTTTTGTAAAATTGATAAATGCTTTTAAAAAACAAAATATTTTTACAGTCTAAAAATAGAATTTTATACAAATTTATAATCTAAAATACCTATATTCAGATGTTCACACATCTTGCTTTCTTAAGAAACAAAATACACTCATATGCAATAGAATGGTGAGATGATAAGCAATTTTGGTAGCAGTGATAAATAAATAGCCAGACCATCCATACCCCTTTCAACTTTAATTATAAATATCACCTTAATTGGTGCCAAAAGATTTTGCCTCACTGGTATTCTCTGTGAATGAGGCTTCCTGGATGCTCAGATTTTCCGTATATTTGAAAATTCTTTATAATCAACAAAGCTTTTTAAAATTTGTAATGCATGTGAATTAAAATACTCTAAAATCCTTCCCTCCAACTTTTGAAGCTGATCATACTGTTACATTTTTGGGGAAGGGTTATGGTTGCCATTTTGAGTTGATGGCCACCGTGTGCTCCAAGGTGGTGGTATCAGCACCCTGTAGGGAGGGTGGATGCTTGCTGCACTCTGAGTGTGACCTTCTAGCTTCGGCGCCTCGTGGATGTTGATGCATTTTGTCGACTCCTTATTGGCAGGCTGTCAGTATCAATTTTCACTGCTGTCTGTAGATCTGATTGGCAGGACTGATCCTGCCAAAATTCTCTTCAAATGCCTTCCTTTCGGTCAGTTAAAAGCTTGGATACCAGGTAACCAAGCTTTATCAAATTTTATATAAAACCATAAGTGAAAGGCCTGAGACCTCTTCTCTTAAGTGGTGTTTTGGTCCTCAGAGACCATTTCTTCCTTCCTTCCGTTCTCTCTTCCTTCGTCCCTCCCTCCCTTTTTTCCTTCCTTCCTTCCTTCCTGCCTTCCTTCCTTCCTTCTTTTTTCTTTCTTTCTGATAGTGCTCATGTATATTATGGATATATGAAGTTTCCAGGTATTTGAGTTATAGACAATTGAGACTGTACTTAAAAAACAATAAATCTGACAGACACACATTCCTTTGCTCACAAATAAGCCAGATTCACAAAATCTGTTCTGGAAATATGTACAACTTCCAGTAGTATTTTGCCTCAGCCCTTATGGATGGACCAGTCTCTGTGCATGGAATGTTCTTCTAACCCCAGAATGCCCATGGCTCACTCGTCCTTCAAATCTGTTCAAATGTCACCTTCTTAAAGAGACCCACCATGACCACATTGTTTACTGGTGCACCCACACACACTTTTTCTCAAACCTCTTTCCCTGCTGCCCCCTTTCCATAGCACTTACGATTTTCTAACATACTATGTAACTCACTCATTATGTTTGTTATTTATTTTCTGTCCCCAACCCTCCTCTGACCAGCACCCATGAAGGAAGTGCCTTTGTCTGTTTAATTCACTGATACCTACCAAGCATCTAGAATAGTGCCCATTACAGAGTAGGCATTTGGGGGAAGTGGACTTACCCAAAATACAATGGAAAGCAACAGGACAGTGAAAAAACAGGTCTGTCTGACATCAACCAACGCCCATAACTTCAAACAGAAAGCGATCATCTCTCTTGTTTTATGTGTTCATTTTTACATAATTGGAATCACAGAAGCAGCAGTGGAAACACACCTCTAAGAGTTTTCTAGTTATACTTCTCATTCTTTATTATCTGCAGGGTAAAGATCACTTAAAGTGGATAAAAACATGGTAAGGCCACAAACATAAAAATAACAGTTTGGAGGTGTAGGAAAAAATGACAAGAACAGCC